GTTACGTTTCAGAAACTCAGATGTTACACTGTAAGGTATTTTAATAATTTATGTAACAAAATATGGAAATTTTAAATCAACTCTTCGTTGCTGCTTCTAGTTACGCTGCGTTGAACAAAGTAATATATATTATGTAAAGCATGAGCACACAAGAAAATCAAACTTATTAAAATTTTTTCTAATTAAAATCACATTCATATCAATGTACATTAAAAGCATTGGATTATTTTAAATACATTAGAACAAAACATCAGCAAACCAGTATAAATGACGAGTATTGTTCCAAAAAGAATAATTAATTCACCAGTGTTTTATAAGCCTGTATCAAGAATACGCTTATTATAACTTATTAAAATAGATTACTGATTTTCTAATTTTTAGCTGACTTATTGCTTAAGTAATGTTATTCTTTATATGCAATTGCATGTAATTCAGGTTAATTGAATGCAGTACTATTCAGTTCACGCGAATTAATTGAAAGTTTTTAACTTGCCGGTTTTATGCATATACATAATAATAAGTAAATTTACTTAAATAATGCAAATATTTTGAAATGCTACTTTTTAATTGAATTCACAAGCATTTTATATATTTCTGAACATTTAGTTTGAAATCTAAAGGACATTTTATGAAAATGTTATCTGTTTAAAGATAGTATTGGAAAATTTTAACATGCTGCTTATTTATTTAGCGAAGAATGTTCGTGTCAGTTTGTCATATATCTAAGCACTTTCTCGGCGATAAAACGTAGCCATCTAAAAGAAGAGCAACCCTCTTAGACTACTGAGAGTTGTCATTTAGAGATCTCCAGGGTTCCAGAAATAAGGGGGACTCCAGAAATAAATTTGTTTACTTGGAAGTTATAGCTGATGATACTTTTAAAGGGATTTTGTATTTTGAAAGTTTTTGTAATGAGAAATCATTGAAAAAATGGTATTGTGTGCCATTGCTACCTGTAGTAATACGTATCATAATATGAAAGAAACTAGCGTGGTATTTCATAGATTTCTGTACAAAAATATTCAGTTAACGAAAGAATGGTTGCATATGTGTCGAAGAGTGCTCGAATATGCAGCAATCACTTCACTGAATCTGATTATGAGCATGATATGAAAAATAGGTTGCTAGGATTACCGACAAAAAAGGTACTGAAGTCAACTGCTATTCTAACTGTTTGTATTTCTGACTTGGTTATTTATCAGAATACACCAAGTCAGCAAAGGCAACAAAAAAGAAAAAAATTACAAAGTGCATTTGAAAGAATTCAGAATTTAAGTCCTAAAAAGGCATGTCTGGAACTTCAAAACGATAACAATAATAGCTATGAGGAAGCTCACTGAAAATAATATTACTCAGCAATGTTGTAACTGTTCCAACCTCCAGAAAAATGTGAATGATTTAATCACAAAATTATCAGCTCTTGAGAATAAGGTTTCTGTTTTACAGACTGAGAGAAAAGCAGCATTTAAAAACTATCTCCAGCAAAGAAAAAGATTTAAAAGGAATAGAAAACTAATATTAGAAAAAGTTCAGAAACTGAGGAAAGAAATTAAAAAAGTGAATCAAGAAAATGAAAAACTAAGCAAAATGAAAACGTAGATTCAAAACATATTTACAGAAACTCAAATAAATGCATTAATGGAAAAAAAAAAGAGAATTAAATGGTCTTCAGACGACATTTTAAAAAGCATAGTAATCAAGTCATTATCCGTATCATTATACGACATTATCCATATCATTATATGACTTCTGGAAAGAAAAATGGGTATTCCGCTTCCAAGTGGAAGTACACTGAAAAGATGGTGCTCAAGATTCAGCTGCATCCCTGGCATATTTTAAATGATGTACTCTTATTGATAAAAAAAAAAAAAAAAACTTGCCAAAATGCAACTGACGAAGAAAGATTATGCGTATTAAGTTTCGATGAAATTCATATAGATTCAAGACTCTGTTATGATTCAAAATTAGATCAGATATTAGGTCCTTTTAAAAAGACTCAATTTGTATTGGTTCGAGGACTCATTTCGCAATGGAAACAGCCCATTTATTTTGATTTTGATCGTCAAATGAAGGAAAATCTTCTGTCTTCCATTTTGTTTGCACTTGAATCGTCTGGGCTTCGAGTCAAAGCAATTGTATCTGACATGGGAGGTAGTCAGACCCTTTGGAAAGAATTACAAATTTCAACAGATAAATCTTTCTTTTACAGTCCCAAGTTCAGCACCAAAATATGGGTTTTCGCTGATATGCCGCATTGCATAAAGCTTTTGAGAAACCATTTTCTTGATAAAGGTTTTATTCTCAGAAATGGTACAATTATAAACAAAGACGTTATATATGAAGTACTCAATAAAGATATCAGAGAAATTAAAATGTGCTATAAACAGAAACCTCAATTTTTATGTGTAAAAGGAAACGTGAGATAGCATTATTTTCCTCAACAACGTCTAAAGCAATTATGCATTTGACTGGTAATGCTGCAGCAAGTATTTTTTTTTAATGGTTGATGATTTTTTTTTTGACATTATGAATAGTAGTGTACCATTACCTCCTGGCAATAAATAAGCCTTTAAAAGCTGCTTTCGACCTAGAAAGATATTATGAAGTACAAAAAGAAAAATTAAACGCAATTAAGCAAATGATTTGTGATCTCAGAGTATGCTGAAAGAAGACAATGCTACCTTTCCAGAAAGGTATTATCATATCGATAAATTCGCTTTTCGGTTTATTTGACGACGTAAAATCTATAAATGTGAAATATATTTTAACATCAAGACTGACTCAAGATGTATTAGAAAGCTTGTTCACCAGATTCGGGGTCTAGGGCGTTTAAATGACCATCCGTCTCCACCAGACGTAATAATTCGCCTGAAAAGGTTGCTATTGGCAAACAAATTGCCTAAATTGTCGTTACTAAGACAAATGCTAAGACTGTGAAGATGTGAAGAAAGTTGAAGCATATTTGACAAAAGAGCTGTTAGAAACAGCTTTTTCTTCAAATGAAAAAGCACAAAATGTTTGAGTCTTCCTTATACGAAGATGATTTAATTAATTACGAAGACATCTATGATGAATGTACGTCACTTCCTTGGGAAACCGAAATTTATGATTCAACGAAAGATATATCTGCATATGAACAAGAATCGCTCGCTTATGTGGCAGGTTATATTGCATATCGTGTGAAAGATAAAGATCCTACTTTGGGTGAAATATCAAAAAAAATTCGTAGATATTCCTAACGACTCAAATTGGATATTTTTATTATCTAAAGGAGGATTAACTGTACCATCACCAGTTTGGATGGAAACGATGATGAAAATGGAAAAATGTTTTCCCTTCTTTTCATGGTTGTTCTTTTCGAAAAGGTAGAAGTGTAATTCAGAATCTTATTTCTGAACTTGAGAAACGTTTTCTCCTCTGTGAATAAGAGTGCAATTCGTTTATTTTGCCGTTTACGAACATTTATAAGGGTTCAGCACTTGAATAGGAATGCAAACCTTGTATCTGCAAGAAAAGCTGACAAGAAAGCAAATAAATGGATAAAAACAGGATTATCGAACCAAACTATATAGGAAACAAAAAAAATCATGTAAGTTGATTCATATTATTCATACCAAAAATAACAATTTGAATCATTACTTGGTTTATCATTCACTTAATTTGTGACCTAATTTATGCACGTTTCAGCTAATTATTTGGACTACTATATAAAATATTATATATTATTATATACTAATTTAGACTGCTAAATTTTACTATATAAAATAAACCATGAAATTCTGCATAAACATAAATTAGTATCAGAGCATATACTTTTAAAATGTAAGAATACATGCTATTATTCCAAAATATATAATACTATTTTAAAATATTTTCATTATTTTTGAGTAATTGACGTTAAATAATAATGCTGATACTGATATTCCATAATAATGCTTTATAATAGATTTCAAAAAGCTTACAAATTCTACTACTCATTATCAACGCTAATTGAAAAGCAAAAATGAAAGAAGTGAAATTTGTTTCGTTTTAATGTGTTATGAAATCTATTATTAGCATTAACTAATTTTTAATCAGATAGATGTGTAAGGTCTTTAGCATGTATTCTCAAAATGTATTTGCATATTTTTATTTAATATTTCTATAATGCAAATTACTTTGCGACTAACTGAAATTTTAACGCAAAAAGAATTCTTCGTAAATGTAGAAATTTACGTATGTTATCGGTGGGTTACTATTTACATATATTTAAAAAGATGATTATGAAAAAGATTTACTACATTTAGGGTACACCCGACCTAAAAAATTAGTTATGTTTACGCATATGTGTTAATTAAAAAATTAGTTATGTTTACGCATGTTTTACTTACGTTTTACGCATATTAGAGTTTAATTTAGTATGACGTAAATATATTACTAGTTTATATATTAGATGCATGTATATTGCAATTTCATGAGCTAAAATCTCGGCTAATATTGGTTATTAAACTATTCTTCAAAGCGTTTTGATTCTCAAGCGAATGCTTAAGAAACTGAACAGCAGAACTGAGCAAGCGAACCCAACTACGTAATCAGTCTCTTCTTTCGGTTCAATCGCGAGAAGCTGATGAACTAGCCCTTTAGCCCTGGGGCACTGAGGCATCTGCACGGCTGCTTTAAGGCACTCGTAACACTTTCGATATTGTCGCCACTGACCGCCTAAACCCAGTCATAATGCTCAGAAGATTAAACCAAAGCCATAATGTTAAATTAGAAAACCATAATATGACATTACAACAATAAAATCAAATAAAGTAACAAGTAAAACAATATTTAATTGGAAGCAAATCTGGACATTATATTTTAAAATGTGCAGAGGTCTGTGCTACTTTTGTGTTGAACAATGACCATATGGTCTGATTACCCTTTTTTGCAGCTTTTCTTACATTATCGACTTGTTATTACTTTCATAATTTCAATAAATCTACATATAAATACATCTTGACATAATTAAAGTTTACCTAGATCTAACTGGAACAGCTAACTGCAAACAACAACTGTCTAAAAGATTGATCTCTTCACATTTTTGTCGAATTAATTCTTGCACAGTTACAGATATACTCTGAACAACTTCTGCACTCAAAGCCTGTAAATTAAAATAACAGTTAAGAGATAAACTTGACAAGTAATTAGTTTTTTAAGCTCTTCTACATTTAAAATTATTTATAGTTATTCAAACTTCAAAACAAGTTTTCAGAATACTTCACTCAAAATAGACATATTTCAGATTCGTTATTGTGGATAAATATCAAGATTAATTAATTTATAACAAGATTAATTAATTTATAAACTTACATCATAAGAACGTCTCAAAGATGACACTAAAGCTTCAATTCTGCTGATAACATCCTTGTCATGTACCAAATCTCGAAGCTCATCATACAGAGTTCTGTCAGTTGAAATATCTAAAATGGTAAAATGACAACTCTCTTCAAAACTGTCATTATATATTTAAAAACTATACCAATATTAGCAACAAACAGTCAATGAATTTATAATATAAAACATATTAAATTACAACTATTAATTTAATACGCTATATATAAATATCAAAGATTCAATTATATGGAAAATATTAGAAGAAAGTAAATACCAGAAGTTCGTTCAAAACTACGGCTACCAAAATTTTTATAACGCCCTGAAGAAACTATAAGATTCTTTGTAGAAAATACAATATCGTCATGAACTTCAACTTCTTGTAATGGGACGGCCCACTTCAAATTCAGTCTTTCACCATTTAAAATTCCATCTGTGCTCCTACAATTTAAAATAGAAATTTTAAACTATTTACTCTTTTGTAGTTTATCAATAAGTTTTCTTCCAAAAATTGAGAGCCTTAATGGAGCTTAAAATTACATATAACACTGTACCTTGGAGTAACAGCCACAGATACCAAAAGATCATTTAGGAGGAAAAGTCTTCTATCTTTAGATTTTACAACAAGCCCATTTTGATCTAGCTGCTGAATAAACAAGGCATAAAAAGGTTATTATCCACAGCAAATTAGTATACCTCATTTTATATTAAATAATTTCATTGCATTAATGATAAACATTTCAATAAAATAATCAAATTTATATAATATTATATTTAATAAAAACATTACCATAACTCTAATCAATACCGAGTGGCACGGCTGCCTTTATTTGGTCATGAAAATTTTTTCTCACTTGTATATATTAGCTTATATTTTAAAATATTGTTTCCTTACTTTTTTTAATAACATAAATATCTTCTCAATGAATGGAAGTTTATGGAAGCAGAAACTAAATTAATTATATAAATTTAATTAATAACTTCTGTTTAAGTACAGGTCTTCATGAGAAGATTTAAAAACCTGTGCCAAATGAAGGGTTTTTTTTTTTTTACAGAAGAGACTGAAAAATTCAAACCTGCACGCTCTTTCTCACTTAACATATCAGATATTGCAAAACAAAAGTGAAATTTTCCAATTGACAGATTTTGTAAAGAAATGTGGAAAAGCGGTAATAAATGAAGATGATATAAAAGAAGTATTTCATTGTGATGACAATGCTTCTCAATCATCAATCAATTAATGAATGGCAAAATCTGTAATATGGTTCTAGATCCAGAAAATACCGCTACTGATAGTGAAGGAAGTGACAGAGAAATTACTGAAAACAAGAAAATTTCGAATGACAAGTTAGTCGGAATTCTCAAAACAGCAGTTACAGGACTTTCAACAATGTAAACTAAACAAGAGATTATGTCTGTCTACAGAGTTGAAGAGAAAGTATAAACACAAAAAACGAAGCAACTTAAACAACTTACATCGAAAGAAATGTTTAATAAGGTAAACAAATAAATATAAAGCTTTTTTTTTTTATAAATTTTGATACCCTTTAGATAATAAATACTTCAATATTTCAAAAGTCACAATTTTATATTTTGAATTTTATAATTTCTACATGCTATCTTATTAGATTTAAACTGATGATCTAATATTGGAAAAATCCCAAATCCGGAATCGCCAAAACACCGATGGGTCCAGATTTTGGATTCTGTACTGTATATATATATATATATATATACAAACTGGCCCCACCAGTGGCTTGACTGCTGAATATACATGTGTGTGTATATGTAAATTTAAGGGTACTACATATAATATAAAACTGTAGTATAAAACAATATGAATATGTTACAATGAGAATTCAGGAAAAAATTAAGGCTCATGAATTTAATATGGAATCTGATCTCCTCTGAAACATACACACATATCATGTATTTTCATGTTAGCAATAATACTGTTAACCATAATTTGGGGAAATAAATTCCACTTCTCCAGCAATGCGGTGTTCAAGGGCTCTCTCAAAGATCAAGACATTTTGCTAGCCACAGTATTCACTCAATGTCTTCACTTTCAAGAAATTCATTAATAAGGTTTGTTTGATGTACATGAGCATTATCATTCATAAATAATAAGTGAGATCCATATTCACCTCTGAAAGTCTTACATAAGGTTTTAAAACCTCATCCTGATATCTTTTAATGGTCACAGATCCACTGTCTAACACACGTAGGGGGACAATGCCCCATTGATCATCATTCCCCCATACTATCCCAAATACATTACTGAAATGGTCACATTCCAAAATGTTCAAAGGAAAATTTTGCATTCCTAACTTCCTCCATGTACACATTTAAAATTAGATGTCAAACATTGAATCATAAAAAGAAAAAAAAAAAAAAAAAAAGATAACATAGGGCCACTGGCGTTCACTCCAGTTCTGATGTTCTTTACACCAATTAAAATTATTCCTCTTTTGATGTAAAAACAGTGGAAACGCATATCATTGGCCATATAATTATATCCATATAATTATGGATTCTGCATATGGTTTGCCATAATACAACAGTTCCAGTAGTGGCTGCAAGCATTGAATGTAAACTGCTAAGCAGTAGATCTCCAGTTACAATTGGCCGTTACTACCAGATAAACTTAAGAAGCAGTTGATGTTTGTTTACAATCTTGTCCAGGCCTCCTTACAAAAGGTTCTAAAATTGTTTCCACAGTATAAGAAAGTCTGTCATGAAATATTCACACATCTTACTGCTTCCATGATTTCTGCCTGCTACTAAATGACGAATGATTCATCACTTAGCATACATTCTTCCAAATGATTATTCAGAACCGTAAGAAACCATTCAGAGTTCTTAAACACTGAATCGCAGAAATATTCACTTTGCACAATGTGCTGCATTCACCATCAGATGGCATGTTATCTTGATTTGCATATCAGAAACCGTTTTATCACTTTTGAACAGATAATGCTAATTATGCTAATTATGCTTACCTTTCACACATTTCCTGCAAAACTAGATTACATCGATTGGATATTTCACGGAATATCATTATTTTGGGGTATGCTAAGACATATTTGGACTTGAGTGTAAATATATTCATTTACCACCAGTGGCCAAGTGGTTAAGACAGCCGATTGCTGGAAGTTTGATCCAGGTCCTAATCTAAGTGAAATTCCTTGCTGTATGGTGAGTTTTTATGATTCCCCATGCACAACATGATTATGAGCCAGTTTCCCTTAGAAAGTCCTCTCCATAGACATCCTTCCCTTACTTAGATAGTCCTAATGTGCTTTACCATATTCAAATGATTTAACCTAATTACATGAAATAATACACATATTACCACACCCAGAAAAAGCTGTTAGAACCAAACAAAATTTTATACTTGTGCTTACAATACTGATACAAATGATGATAAAATCAAAACAAAAGGGTCATTTATTAAAGGAAAAAACTACAAATAAATGGAGGTTCTAATGCCGTGCTGGGCTGCCTCTAGTGTGAATACATGATATGATACAGGTCAGAGATGAGGCACACAAGTCCCACATGGTATCCTGCACCATCTTATTCCACATTTGCTGCAAGTATCATTTACCTTAATTCTTAGGCTGTCCAACTTGCTGTCTCAAGTGATCCAAAACAAGGTAAGCAAGGGAGGAGTGGTAGGCAAAAGCACTCATGTGACACCCTTGCTGCATGTGACTGCACATTATCCTGTTGAAAAATACTTCTTGGGTGAAAAATTTGGGTATAGAGGGTATGCCTGGGAAGAGCAGCACAGGCATTCCTGTGACACCTTTGCTGTGTGTGGCTGTGCATTATCAGATAACCAGGTATCATATGCAATGGCACAACATTTCATCATACCAACTATGGGACCGGTGTGCTGCAATAAAACAAGGGCAGTATTACAGCCTTTCTCACAGGGCCTTCACACTTGTACAAAGTTATCATCCCAACCAAACTGAATCTTAACTCATCACTGCAGGCAAGCTAGTTCCAATCGGTTGCTGTCCAATCCTACCAAGCATAACACTACTCCAAACAAAGATGACAGTGGGCTGTGTACAGTGGGTTCCATATAGAGTGAAGCTGAGAAACATTCAAATATGAAATGCTGTTTGTCAGGCAAAAATGAAAGGGTTTTTAGAAGAATGCCCCTACTACTACTCCAAACATAACAAAATTATTCTCCTGCATGATAACGCTCATCCACATATTGCGGCACCAGTCAAAAGCTACTCACAAACACTCAAATGAGAAGTTTTCTCACTCCTACTGTATATTCACCAGACACTGCTTTTTCTAATTATTACTTGTTTCAACTGATGATGCAAGGCCTGTCTAAGAAGCACTTCACATCATATGAAGATACCAGAAATTGGGCTGATTTGCAGATAACCTTGAAAGATGAAGCATTCTTCGAATCTAGTATCCATATGCTGCCAGAAAGATGGGAAGAAGGTGACTCACGATGGACAATACTTTAAATAGAGCATAACATACCATTCTTTCAGAATAAATGCCCAATATTTGATTGGCAAAGACTTATTTGTACTCCGTATAGAATCAGCAATTTTGTTTCTGAAAACTCATTTTTATTTGTAAAGTACCATTATAAACCATTATAAATTATAATAAAATAAATTTTTTTCCAAAACCCTTGCTCAAATACTTAGTCAAATGGTTATCTTAAAGTTATTTACAAGCAGTTATTTGTATTATGATTACATTGTACGCAGTATACTATACAGAAAAATAAAAAAGGTTCAGGAAAAACAGGTCTAGATAATCAGTATTCCAAATAAGAATTTTTTATTTTATAACATATCTACTCAGACAGTAACCATATGACAATACATCTCTACATCACAAAGAAGCTTGATTATAGATTTGGATGCTTGTTCACAACATTTGTAAAAATCTATGAGTATCTCAAACAATATAAGGTTTGGAGACCACAGTTACTGCTTTGGACAAAGCTGAAACAAATACAGTCTTTCATCGGGACGTCCATAATCCGGAATGATCTATAATCCAGACCTCAAAGCTACTAACTTTCTGCGCATGCGTTGCGTTAATGCATGCGAATAATACCTTTAGGCATGCGCATTTAATGTATAACAGACAGTATAAGCTAAGCTAAAATTATCTAATTATCTATTTCAGTTAATGTTGCAGATTGCATTCTTCCTTAATCTTCTAATTGGATCCGGCTTATTATTTTTTGCAGACTGTTAGCGCAATTTTATAAAAGTAAGCAAAAATTTATAGCATAGCTTAATGGCTTCAATTAATATGGGCTCTAAATATATACCCTTTTTATACCCTCACAAATAATGAAATTATTTAGGTATTTTTAAAATTATTATGCTAATTAAATAATATTAAAAAATCATAAAAACCTGTCTTTCATACTTTGTGTATGACACAAAATGAAGAAGGTCTGAAAAACTATCTGATTAAGAAATAAAAAAATACTTGCAAAAATTTTTAGTTATTAATATATCATACAGCAGAAAGTCTGAAATCCAGCCATCCAATACCTGGAATGTTATAACATCCAGACATCCTAACCACCACAAGAACAGAATTTAAGAGTGGAACATCCAATATGCCAGGAAAAGCAAGTGTGTCATAAAAGAGATTACCAAATTTATGTGAATCTAATGTGCCATCGAATCTAATGCGCATCCCCATTTTAAAACTTTAAATAATAAAAAAATTGTTTGTCGGCGAATGTAATGTGCATCAATGATATGAGGAATTTATTGAATCTTATTTTATACAACAATGGATTTGTATATAAACTATCAATTAATGGTATGATAATTTTATTTAAATTTAGATATCATATTTTATACAACAGTGGATTTATACATAAAGTAGCAGAACACAGAATTAACCTATTAGTGGGCTATTGTCATGTGAAACAATCATTGTTAATTAGCACTACCGTATATACGGTACCTATCGTAAAATATGAACATGAAATAAATTATAACATTTCTATCTAGCTAACAGTTTCTACAATCAGTGATTAATAGTAAATGTCTTTATTCACTAATGTTTTCATCACTGGAATCCTCGCAGCTCTCTTCGTCAGAAGCAGATTCATTTCTTCTTTCCTCATCATCGTCATCGTCGGCGTTCCAGAGCACGTCATCGTCACTGCCATTCAATGAATTTGAAATGCAGCATTTCTTGAAAGATTTCACAATCATTGGTGCTTCGATGCTTTTCCAAGCAGCAGAAACCCAGTGTGCAACAATGTGTGGTGCAGCACGCTTAATTTTTCCTGTCGGGCTCAATACACGGTTTGGCTCACAAAACCATTTTTCGTACTCCGCCTGAACGTACCCCTTAAAAGGTTTATTTATACTAACGTCCAGGGGTTGTAACACAGATGTCATCCCTCCAGGAATGATAACAAGATCACTGCCTAGGCTGTGAATCTTCTTTTTTACGTCGTCGGTGAGATGACCACGAAATGCGTCCAGACAAAGCATTGATGGTGGATTAGAGAGCCCACCGGGATGGCGTTTCCATATCTTTCGGAGCCAATGAAGCATTAATGATTCCGTCATCCACACCTTCTCTTGGTTTCGAATCAGGACATCATCTGGGAACAGCTTTTCATTCTTAGGGGTTTTAGGGCATGTTTTCCGTTTGAAGATTAAGAAAGGAAGTTTGCACCTGTCTGCTGTTATTGCCAACATCACTGTTACGTGTTGTTTTTCACATCCCGAAGTTTTGATGATAACTTCCTTAGCCCCCTTCTCCATAATGGTGTAGTTACGAGGCATATCAAAACAAATTGCCGTCTCGTCAGCGTTGCCAATTTGCCCCATTGAAAAATTCTTTTCCTTCCGAAGTGTGATGACATACCGCTGAAATGTTAGTAGTTTTCCCTCAAAATCTGCAGGAAGCTTTTGGCATATTGTTGTACGGCGTCTTAGAGATAAACCCATCCGCTTCATAAACCGATCCAACCATCCACGGCTAGCCTTAAACTCTTGTTTCGGTATTCCAAGAACTTCAGCCTCCTCTTTTGCTTTATTTCTTATGGTGTCACAGGTTGTCCATTCTTCCTCCTTTCACGTACAAATTCCAAAACTTTTTCTTCAATTTTAGGGTGTTTTCCTTTGCGAGGGCCAGTTAATTTCTTTCAACTAGCTTTAGTTGCAAACAGTACCAATTTCTGCTGCCGCCACAAGCGAACATTGCTCTCAGCTACGTTGAACTCTCTCCCTGCCTTTCTATTGCCATTTTTTTCAGCATAAAGAATTACTTTACGTTTGAAAGTAGCGTCATATGACATTCTTCTCTGTTTGCTCTCCATTTTGTGACTACGTACTCTGCAGTTTGTATCCTCTATGCAATAATGTGTCAACGATAAATGTAACGGTAAATGTAGTCGAGAAATTTGGTTGACGTCATCGGCGAACTTTGCACTCGAATCTAATGTGCACCCCAATTTTGAATACTACATATGGCCAAAAACGATGCGCATTAGATTTGCATAAATACAGTAGTTTTTGGCCCAACTAATTGGGATGCCTGTATGCCACTTTCAGACATGTGCTAACTAAGGAATCAAACAATACTGTGGCCAGTGACAATAATACATTGACTAGGCATTAGCAACAACCACAGTTTCACTTTTCTAGTGTTTGTAGAGGTCAAGATTAATATTTGTTTACCTGACCTAAATAATAAGTGAAGCCTCAATACATCCATTTGGAGTGGGATGTTGCTAATACTGGTTTCTTTTGCTGGCATAAGAGTGAGAACAGAGAAAGAATTAAATTCAGAAGAAATTAAGTCCACTTAATATACCAAACTCTGCTCTGCAACTAATTTCATTCATTTTTTTTTTTTTAGGTTATTATTATAGCTATATTATCAAAATTTGTCTTTTTTTTTCTTTCGAAGTTTAAATTTTCAGCTATGGCAAGAAGACTTTCTAATTCTGGAGATGTGAAAGGACCTGCAAAGTGAGAGCATATTTGGTACTTGCCTTCTAAAGTGGCTTTAGCACAAAACTACAACATTGGCAGAATTCAGGCTTTAGAAAGTATAACTACAAAACCAGGCGAATCAACAACCTTATTTTGGCATAGATTTTTTAATGCTATAGATAAAGCGAATTTTTTCAACTAATGGAATTTGTGAAGAGATGTGCAATGATAATAAACGAAGATGATATAACAAGTTTCCAATTGTGATGCCGTTCAGCAACCAGTGGACAGTAAAACCTGTAGTATGGCTTTAAATCCACAAAATCTCTCTACCAATACTTATGAAAATAACAAAGAAAAGTTTAGTGAATGAAAAAATTTCGATTTACAGTTAAATAGGAATTTTTGATCCAGCAATTACACAACTTGAACAAAGGAACTTCATAACTGAATTAGAAATTCTGTCCATCTATAAAATTAAAGTATTAGCAGGGGGGGGAAAACTGCTTAAACAACTTGCATTGAAAATAATGCTTAACAAAATATGCAAATAAATATTGATTTATTCCCCCCACCCAGTAATTTTTTATTCCTATTTAAAGACATAAAATGCTTCATTATTCCACGAACCACATTTCACAGTTTAATGTTATAATTTCTACTTAACAGATGTACACTGATGATGTAACAATGAAATTTTTTAAATCCACAATCGCTAATGTCTCGAGAGTCTGGATTTTAGACTTTGTACCATATATACATCACATATTCAGGCTTATATATCCACACGTCAAATAATAAGACACAACACTTATAATTTCTCTTCATGAAAAAAATCATTTATAACAATCTTGGTTTATTAATTCTCAATTAAAAGTAGTTTGAATGCAAAAATCACATTTGACAAAAACCTAATATTATAATTCAACTTAAAAATTTTAAAAATTAATAAAGTCATTTAAATTAAATGCTGTAGGGGTGGTTATTGATTCTAGCATGAACAAATGTGTTACATGATCTATTGCAAGCAGGTGAACAATCATTTCATTTTGTTGCATTAGAGCTGAATCATTAAATTTCATTTTCAGTTGTTAAAATTGCCTTTCACAGCATATTTGACCTATAAGACTTAAAACAGTAGAAAATTTATTAGAAATTTAAAAAAAAAAATCCACTTAACTAATACTTACAAGCTGAATAACATCATCTTGTCTAAGTAAGTAATGATCCCTATCTATTGAAGATTTGAATGAGAATTTCCCAAGGTGTTTCAACACTTCTCTTACAGCATGATGCTGTTCAGCTTCCCGCTTTCTTTCATTTAATGTCTCTGCTAAAGATTCTAGTTGAGTTAGTGCCAGTTGTAAAGACATCCGATCATGATGACCCGGAGGTGTATCTTTTAATAAATCCTGTAAATTACAAATATTTCCACAAATATTCAAAAAGATTTTCCACCTCATTTAGAGTCAAAGAAAGTTAACTAATTTTAAAACACTAAAATAAAATAAAAGAAATGAGAGAAGAAAGTCTCTCAAAAAATTTGAAATTGGGTACAATTTTCACTGAAGGTTTACTAAGTTTACTAATATATAATACTAACTTATAATTTTCACTGAAGGTTTACTAGGTTTACAAGTATATAACTTTTCACTGAAGGTTTACTAGTATATAATACTAACTTTTCATTAGCATATAAATCATATCATAACTTTAATTATGTTCAGCTTTTTTAAAGTAACTCTCAGAGATAACATTATATGAATCATCACATTATAAAGGCGTAATTCAGTTCAACAAAGATGCCAATCTTTCATTAATAATAAACTTTATCAATGTACTGATTGACATACCAGAACTACACTTTATCCACAATATAAAAGATGCAAGTCAATACACAAAATTAACATATTGCAACAAAGACAGTATATATTTCAAAATTACTTTTCTTAATCCTGACTAACTATAAAAAGTCAAGACGAAATTATACATCAACATCCCTTTTCAGCCAAAGAACTACCACACAAAAGCGATTAAATAAGTATACATTCTGTTATTTTCTAATAGCATAATAAAATTTTAAAGCAAATTCTGAACATTCATAAATTCGAGTAAACCTTTTAATTATTATAAAAATTAAAGAAAATGTAATAAGGTCCACAAAATCTTTTCTAGAACCTCAAACTTTTGCAACTACTATCTTTATAAGCTAACCAGACAGCACGTACAAGGTTAGAACAACCTTTACACCCTGTCCTTCAAGTTGTCCTTCAAGTTGTCCTTCAAGTACGCCAAACTGCTCAGAGACTTCTGATTTCTTCCCTTCTCTGCATAACTGGGAAGTTCTTGCCAATCTTGGTATATTTAATTAACAATTTTTTCATGCAATCAAACTGGAGTTGAAACTCATGGTTACTTATATGGCAAATAATCTGCATGTTTTTATTTTCATATTTTATATGGAATTTTTCACCTAAATAAACATGAATTTTATAATGTTTTACAGCTGAATCATTACTTATAACTTGAAGCAGAAGAGCTAACAACGTATTCCTTGCAGTCTGGGTTAATTTATCTTTTTAGAAATATTCACTTAATCAAAAGTTAAATACCATAAATTTGGAAGCGAGTTGTTTTCTCACATTTTGTACGAGTTTAACAAATTTGCTCCTTCAAACACACTCAGCCATATTAAAGCTAAAAACTATAAAACAAATGATTCTATACCTTATATAAGAAATCATATACTACAGACTTTATTAATTACAATAAACAGCAATGATTTACAAGAATTTTCAGAGATTATATTATAAATTAAATGTATTTTAATTTACTGCAATTAGATAGATGCATTATTAATAAAAACACATAAAGATTTAAATTGTTAAGTGTGTTTATCGCTTTTAAATCACAAATACCAAGCACACTTATTTCAAATTAGAAGGATTATGCTCTTAAATCACAAGCTATATCATAACAATGCATCCCGTTAATATAAATTACAACATATTTAAATTATATCAATTGAATTCTGTGTTAAAAAATTTAAATAACTAAGAACTGCTTTGAATTATTGTTATTATTTAAAATAATTATCATATATTGCTTTTAATTTAAATATAAATTTAAATAATAATTTTTAATATAAATTAAAACTGTTTGTGTTTGAAAGGAAAAGTTATCAAGCTTTGTCAAATGAAGAACAATTCTGAAAATCAGATATGCATAAAGGCATGTGGAATATGTCTTTTCTTCATGCAAGGGGAAACACATTGCTTTTAAACACGTCAGTTTATAGTTAACAGACAGACAGGCTTAACAGTCTGGGAACCTACAGATTATATTTTATCAGGGCAGAACTGTATAAACTAAGTGAATACACTACACTTCCTCCGAGGTATAAAAATAACATGCATAAAATAGGAAATCTGTTTTAATTACTTAAATTACCTAAGGTTGTTTGACAATGGAAAATGCTTAACTAATTAACTGCGAAGAAGGAATGAAGTACGGTAAAATGGCCAGTCAGAAATCTCAATGCCCACTACTGGCCAAGGAGTGAAAGTGCTGAAGAGTGGTATTTCAATCTGAGCAATTCATGAAAACATTACTTTTCATATAGGTAGCCTTCAGTAATACCATAATTGACTGACCAGTAATAACATAATTGACTGACCTGCACTACCATAATTGACCGAATAGCAGAAATGTATCTAAAGGACAAGACCTATTGCTTTTTACTTGTTTTTTACAGTATCAATGCTTTGGGAATAGCATTTATTATTATTTTCATCATTTTGAGGAATGTAAAGCAGAAGTGTTAATGTCTAAACATTTGAGGAGATGGAACTATCAACGAATTTGAGTAATCATATTCAGGTGTATGTGCGACTGAACTCTGTATACACAAAAGCATGTTTTAGGTATTCCTTTTCTTAGATGGAATCATATGCTTTCTGATCATATCAGTGACCAAGTGGCTGAAAATGTGAGACTGGTAGTGTGCAGTGAAGTCATTTTCCCCTTATAACATCCTTCACAAAGTTTCAAATAAATTGCATGCTTCAGGGATAAATTCATCCTTGCTATCAGCATGAACAGGCCTGTTTAAAGGCCTCTCAAAAAGGCAGTTTCTACTGTCATATCTGTTAAGTCCAAAATTTACCCAGGTTTCATCAGTACAACACTGGCTTACCCTGTGCATATTTTTAATACCACTTAGAAATCAATGTCTCCAGCAATGAATATCATCACACTCAGTGAAAACTGACCTGGCATCTTTGATTTTTTCAGGCAAACCTTAATCATTCATCCTAGTGAGTGAATGGACATATCTGAAAAATGAGCTTTAATAATCAATAGTCAGTCATTCACATCCAGTTTCCTCTTTCTGCACAGTACTCATTTTATTTGATAAAAATAAAACTGTGAACCTTTCTTTGTAATTTTGTTAAAGTTACCTTATCATGTAATTTGATTCGGGTTTGCATACTGATTTTCAAAAGTCATTTTCTCCTTTGATAAAAATCCTTCTTTTTCTGTCAATTTGCATTTTGTCTAATTTATGATTGTCACAGAAATGCAAGTCAAACATGCACCAAAAATAAGTTTCGTTTTCAGATTTACAGGTAAAACACTTGTAATTTTGACAAAATATTCATAACGGTAATCTTAGTGGAACTCGACATTTTTTTCTTTTTTTCCAAACAGCGAGCACTATTTTGTTTTTTTCTCGACACTGGCCACTCCTAAAGTTAGGAGTGGTGGCCATTTTATTGTGAAAGCACCTTAATACGCAGCCACCATTTCCTCCAGAAGGACCAGTTACAACCATGCCTTCTCTGAGATTTTAATCCTGACTCTTCGGAATCACAGTCAGCTCTCCTAACTTAACATTTCCTCCATTTGGGCGGCTGAAGCTGAATAGTGGCTTTCTAGCTTTTTGCAGCTAGAAATTAACACACATGTTGGAGATGAAGCAGATGCTATGAGAGTTGTTTTCTTTTCTTCTAGTCAGTAAATAAGTGCATCCTTAATTGCTTTTATCAGAGGGAGAGTGGGAGTGAGGTCTAGGTTACATCAATGTACAAATTCGCCAATAATGCCAAAAAGATGATGCTTTCTATTGGTCACCAGATGACTGATATGATACATTAGCAAATTTAAAAAGAAATCATCAATGTGATACAATCTATCATTCCATACTGTTTTTTTGTTCTGTTCTCTGTTAAATAACATTCATATTTCATAGTGTAATTTCTAAAATACAACTTCCCAAAACAGAGGAACTACATTCTAAGACGGGCACATACACTATCTATAATATCCAGTATTTTCAGTTTAGGATGATAACTAGTATAGTATTGCTGCTATAGCCTTATATAGATTTTGTATGTGCAGCTTTACACTCAAATAAATATGGGCCAACAATAACATAGCATAAAAAAATACAGAAAATTGAAAAAATAATTTACAGAATTGAAAAAAAAAAATTTAGAGATTTTAAATTATCATGTTAAAACTGATCACAAAAATGTGATATGAGAAAAAAAAAGTAGAGACACATGTAGGCTCATTTCTTGTTGATTTTAAAAGAAAACTCTGAAAAATAGTCCTTGTGTGGTTTGCCTATAATTAATTTATCTTTTTAACAATATATAAAAATTTTGGCAGTTATACATCAAGCAACTCCATGACCAAAACATGACTATCAGAATCTAGAAAATTAAAACACTTTCACAGTTAAATTAAAAAGAGAGAGTATATCAATACTATAAAAAGTACACAAAGACTGTAACATTTTAATAGAAACAAAACACTCGACTTAAAAAAGAAATAAATCAAAAACGTAAAAGGAAAAAATATAGTTACTTGAAGCATTAAAATGAACTGAGGGAACCTCTGGACAGGTTTCACCATAAGGCCAAAGAATGAAAGTCTGTCTGCACTGTTAATCTGTTTCACCTAAAACGCGGTTGATATAGCATAGTCAAATATTTATACTATACAGAACATAAAAGTAAAGGTATAAAAGCGAAAAAAAATAGATATTCAAATAAGCAATTTGAACATACTTTTAAAAAATCAGCAAAGGCAGATTTATTTTTTGATGCTTGCTTAGCTGTTTCCATAGCCAGTGAGAAGTTATTTATAAAATCACTATAAATATCCAAAACCATTGTCTTGGAAAACTGCAAGAAAGAAAACAATTACGAAATAAAAATATTTTCTGCGCACAAACATCAACTGAACAGAAGATTACACTTATTTTTAAAAGTACAAAATAAAAAAAATAATCATTAATCAAGAATAAAGTCTCAAACTACTTACAGATGCAACAAATATATCTCCTATTTTTTCCTCTTGATCCCACTGCCGAACGCACTGTGTAAGGGCAATTCCAAAAATATTATGACACTGTAAGATTTGTTCGACCCGGTGAAACATTATACTTATTTTGTTGGCACTAACAATTGGTGGAGTGGAATCTTCTAACGGATGTTTGTAATCCTAAAACAAAATTCATTACCACTATTTATGACTGAAAATGTTATTAAAATTGCTAATTTGCAGAGATAATAAGGAGAGGAAAAAAACTTTCACATACATATCAGTACTTATTGGTTATTGAGGGTTACACATTCTTGGCAATAATGTTTTAGCCTGAAGCATTTGGGGGGGGGGGGGGGTTGGACAAATATCTCCAGTGACATTTTAATAATTTCCCTATTGTTGCATCAAATAGTCTCAATTCAATAATTATTATTAGTCATAATGCCTGCAGTTAACATTACTAAGGTTTTTGCAGTTAAAGTTTTCAATCATTTAAAAAAAAATTTGCTTATTCTGCAACAAAATGCAATCAACAATTCATTTTTGAGTAATAAACTTCCAACACAATTTTCCTCATTTTCTCAGGTACATGTAACAGCAAAAATGTAAGCTTTATGATCATGTTTTTTTCACATTTTTTCCTTTTGTGTAGCAAACTATTATTTAAGTAAATTCAAATTTTCAGAATTACTTTGGGCACACTGGTTTATTTTCACCTTTGTACATACATTTATTTCTGGACACCAAAAAGTTGTTGACAAGAATATGTGATCCAGTAAAACAAAGAATATCACATATTATATCGTACATTTACTCAATTGTTCCATTACACTGAAAAGTGAAATAAAACTCAAGTTATACTCTAATATGATTTTTATATGACAGAACCATCAAACATATGCACTAAAATTAGGATTAAGCTTTTAACTAGAAATGATGGGTCTCACTACCGTAATCTATTCTCACATAACAAAATACTGCTTACTATGATCAGTGATCAGCTGCATAAATCAAACAATTTGAATTACTAATGAACCAGGTGTTTGCTCATTTTATGACAACAAAAAAAAAAAAAAAAAAAAAAAAAAAGGTAAACGGCAATTGAGATATGCAAGTGGAAACAATGTATTTAGTGTTTCTTCTTATGAAATACAGTCCATAATATTTAGCATCAATAAAAAATACTTTTATGGAAATAATAATGAAAAGAGTTAATTGGATAGCAAATACAGAATCGGATCAAGAGCCAAAAAAGGGTAGCATGAATTCTAAAGGTAATGACACTGAAACACATCACCTAGAAAACACATAACTGACAATAAACCTGCAAGTTGGAGAAATTTCAGAAAAATGTTCCATTAATAACATGCAAATACAGTTAGAAGTAGCTTTATTAATAATGTCTATTTCTATTACATTTAAAAGGATGTTTTGAGAAAAAACAGTGTTTCCTGCCATTTTTACTTCAAAATTTTTTCTATGCATCTGAATTACATAATGCAGTTTAGAAATGAAATGTGTGCAAACAATGTATGAAAATACACTTTATCATTTCACTGAAATATGTTAAAATATCCATCTGTTTGTTGGCGTTTTGATCAATACTTACACTATCTTGAAAGAAAATTAAACCATATTCGAACAAAAATAAATTTCACAGGATAGTGTAAATTTCTGTTTCAATCAAATGGCTCCCAACCACAGGGCTGAGCCATTTCTTTTTAACATAATGAATACATTCTAAATGGAAGTTTTACCTTGTATGGTTCTATCAGAATCAAGCTATACTTCTGCAGAACATTTTCAACCCACAGAAGTGAGACCATTTTCAGAAAGCTCTGCACTTTATTTACAAAAGTTTGTAAGTTTTAGAATGCATGTTAAGAAAATAAAGTCCACGGTCAACTTTTTGAACAGCTTATAAATGTTGAATTACTTCAATGTGTTGCACTAAAATTTCACATTAATACACAATGGGAATAGAGAAACTACTTTCCCATTTTGAATTCAAACACAATGACTAATAGTTGAAAGAAAAATAAGTATTTTTAGCTGCAATAAAGCTACACAAAAAGTTCGTTTCTTCCACTTTTAACACTGTGTAGTACAGCAGAAGACTTAATTTTTGCCTCACATCTTTGAGGAGGGGGACCTGCGAGATGCTGTGGAACAGACTCATGAAAATAAAATCTATATTCATTTTTAAACAATGGCAGACACTTAGCTAATAGGATATTTAGTCAACAGGGCATTTAGATGACACGTCCATTTGTCTGAGTCAGCAATTTTCCTGACAGGATGTTTAATCATCAACACGAACATTTGGACAAAAAACATATGCTGTTTTAATTAAATTTGTCATTCAGCCAGAGGCCATTTCCATAATACACAGAAAGTTTATGATTATTTTACTCTGCTTTTATTTAATGCTAAATATAGTATAAATATAAAACTAGACCAAAAAAAAAAAAAAAAAAAGAGAGAACATTCGGTTGGGTAGATTTTGAATATAATGCTATCAATTTTGAAGACAATTACATTTTTTGTCCTCAAGAGCAAAAATTTTTGCAGCAGTTGGAGAAGAGATATAATTTATCTGGATGACAATGGGTAGAGTACAGCAAAAATTACCACAGGCTGAGGAAAATAGCAATCAAACATGAAATATGCCATAGATATCTTAAAAGAAATGAAGCATCTGAGAGCTAAAAAGACGCCCTTATATAAATCTAGCTAAAAAAAAAATGCTGTCTAATAATAGAGCCGTTCTAGAATTGATCTTTAAGAACTGGCTTTCTCAGTGCATGCAGAAATCTTTTATAAATTTCCATGAGAAAAACAAATTTAAGATGAAAACTAGTGTTAGACATACACATCATATATTGGACTAACCATGAAAATAAGAATAATACCAGATTATAGAGTTACTCTAGAGGTAATAAATGGCACTTCCATGCACTTATATCTTGGAACTGAACACCACTTTCTGCGAATTTATTTACCAAACCTCTTATACATATCACTTAGAAATAGTGAATCCTGAATTTTGAGAGCCGGTATATATTTTAACACCGATGGCCCTCTACATTCCCCCCCCCCAGGTAGCTGCCAACTGTTAGTTTTTGTTTTTTAAATCCATTTTGCGTACTTTTGATCTGTGTCTATAGAGATGGGTACTTGAATATAGTTATGCAAGTCTGAGGACAAAAACTTTTAAAATTTCGCTAGAAACTTCAAATTTGATGCAACCCAGCTGAACATACTTATGTAAAATATGGGTAAAAAGCTTTTTAAATTGATTTTAATTCAATATTATTATTTTATGAAAAAAATTTAGCAAATAAAACACTGCATGTGTAAACCGTATCATGCTGTAGGTGAACTAATATAATGTTATAATAAGAAGATGTAACTCAGCCAAAAAATAAAAAATTGAAAAATGAAACACTGACTCAGCTGAAAAGGAATGTTGCATTTTTGAAGTTATTTTTATTTTAAATTTAAACAAATTTAAATTTAAATTTTAAAAAACACGTATAAATTATACTCGTATTTTATATATACTCGTATTTTGTATATACTCGTACCCCTCTCTCCACATACACACATTCGACTAATGAGGCAAATTTTTGTAAATATGGGTTGTAATATATCATTTTATTCAGGAAATGCCATTAAATGATTTTATTATTTGATACACCTAAGCTCTTATTTCGATTCTGAGCCCCTTTTGCCTTCTAGTGGCTCCTTTTCAACTTCTGGATAAATTTTGGTTTGCATCTAAAATCGGCTTTTGAAATATTTTTCCTCCTTTCACCAACTGCAAATTTATTTCGAAAACTACCTACCTGCATCCTAACCCAGGGGGAAAATTTCTGTTGAGTTCCCTAATTTCTCATCTGAAATTAACAATCACGATACCCTAAAGAATAAAAGCATGCTTTCAAATGAGCAGTTTTCGATTCCACTTACAGATGGACCTAAAGTGCATTTCTATTTTCCTTATTTTTAAGTAAGCTTTCCTTTAGTGAAGATGGCATGACCCCTGAGCAACTAATTAGTTGCCAATCACCTTTTTCATTTTCGCTGCATTCTAAGATTTTGAAAAACACGAAGCAACGAGTCTACCATGCCACATTTAACTCCTACTTTTGTGTAATGTTTTGACGGCAGACAGCAATTTTGAAATTGATGGGTCTTTCTCCTGGGAAAGGGTGAAGTGCTGAAATTAAAATTTTAGCTAAACAGAAACGAATAAGACACTCGAGTGGAGTAAACAAAGAATAAAAAGAAACTAATATAATTGTATTCAGACCTAGTGCAGTATCAGTAAGCGCTGTCTATCTCCCATGAACATAATATTGAATCCTTGTAACTTGTAAATTAATCATAAAAAATTATTACATTATACTACAAAGAACTTCTGTCATTTCACACAGTAGAAAAGGAGAAGCCTGGTGCTGCCACCTATTGGCATGGTACTCTTGATATGGACACCAATATATCTATCATATATCAGTCTTAAAATTGTGTAAATAAATTATCACTTCTGATTGAAATGCTGTACATATATAAGATTCAGCAAGTGTATGTCATATATTTGCAGATTTTAAATTTTTTCCTTCCCCTCCAATAGAATTTATCAATCTTCAAACATGATACCTTGGAACAAGGCCTATTAATTTCCTAACTGCAAAATATTGAGCATTCATAGGATAGTGCTGCTATTTAGAATCAAAAAGAAATACTAGAAACTTATGATTACAGCTTTTGAAGTACAAAAATTAGCATTTTTTAGGAGGTTAAAAAATTGACAAACATCTGGTATATTTTATATATCGGTGCCCTTTAAAGGGTTAAACTAAATACTTCAAACAAGTTTGATTAATACGTAACAATAAAAATAAAATAAAGTCATTAAATTTAAATAATTTGTGTTTTGTTTACTTATTAATATTTTCACTTTGTTACAAGGCTGGCAACTGCAGAATAGAACCATTTATTTGAAAAAGAAATTGCTCTTTTTTACTGCAAGTCCAGCCACTGTTTTCCCATCTACAATTGTTTTCACTCCTCCAACTGCTGGAAAAAAAAATTTTAACTCAAAATGGCACACCTGTAGGTATCTATCTGAAGTATCTGAAGGCTCTAAAAACTGAAGAGTTTTAGCTTTCTTGAAATGCTCTCATGTTTTCATCTAAATTTATGTACCATCAGCTAAGAATGTTGTCAGCTTTATGCTCTGTTGAGTGAATGTCCTTTCAGCTAACAGCTGCCAGCTAAATATTATGAGCCCATAATTAAATCATTGTTAAAGACTGAAACTATGTCTTCAGAATTAAACAATAAACTGATATCTGAAATAAAGCAATTCAAGTGATTTTTCTTTTAAATGCTAACACAAAAACCATATCCAACGACTAAAAAAATATTAGTTTTTCATTAATTATATTGACTATTAAAAAATTTCACTTGTGAAGAACTGATCAATTGCCTGAAAAATCATGATAATGACTGTTTATGGAATTTTTAAGCTCTTAAATGGTAGTGCATAAAAACACGATTTCTCTCTCTATTTCAGAGGTCTTCAAACACTGTCAACTCAGGAACCCTTAGAACTGTTAAAATTTTTCGTGGAGCACCATGCCACCCTTACAAAAATATATCTTAAAATAATATTTAAAGTAGATCACACTTTATGTAGAGAAAAGAAAAGTATTTCTTATTACAAATTTTAATATAAAATTAATGCAATTTAGTCATTTATAGCATTAACTCATGCCCCATGCACCTTGCACTATATTTAGAGGCAAGGGTACGCTTGCCTTTTTTAGGGTATGCTTTACTTTTTTTTTTTTTTTTTTTTTTTTTTTTTTTTTTTTTTTACACAAGCTGCCACGTCTAGAATTTCATATTCCACATTTTATTTCTTTCTCTATTTTGTTACCAGATACTTTAATAAGATTTTTCACTTAAATTCGTTCCAAATGGCATTAAAATGTTTATAGTTGTGTGAGAAGTTTCTAAGTAATCTGCATGAACTGACAACCAACATTTTAGGAGTAGCTTAAATTTAGATCTTGACATTCAGTTGCTTGCTATGACAAAAAGTTGTTCCCTTTCCTTCATCAAAAAGCTTTCTGATATATTGTAGTATTCAAATGGACTTGGCAAACTCAAATAGACCAGTGACACTTAAGTTTTTTCTTCTGATAAATAATATCTTAGTTTAGTTCAAATGAAAAAGGTGAGGTGCTCCATTATACAATCTTTAATATCACCACCTAAATTCAATTCATTATAAATTCATTCTATTAGAAAACTGTGTAGTTTTAGAAAGTATTGCCCATTATTCACTTTGGTACACGATGATCGCATGTTAAGTTTCAAAACTAATCTTTAACTAAATAGACCTTTATATTTTTTAGTTAAAATACATTAGTCAGTTCCCATGAGTGCTTTATAATTTTCTTTCTAAATTTTTATTTTGACTTCCAGAACTCAAATGTTTGACTCATGCAACACGAGACTACTGGTCTATTTGATTGGTTGCCCACTGAATGAACTGCAGAATGACAAGAAGCAAAATCAGACTTTATAAGTTTAGTTATGTAAGGGAATAGATGATGGATCATAAATATCCTACTGTATTATTCCTTGAAGCAACTAACAGCATGAACAGATAACTTAATAATGCAGAGAAATATGAACTTGCATGATACAGACAAAGTACTCAAAATCCATGAACCTGCTTAAAAAGCCATACACCAGTTTAGTGAGAAAACCGACTTAAACCGTATAAAGCTGCTTCTATATAAATTTACAGGTTTTCTTCAGTTTTATGCAGACATTATTAGGTTATAAAAAAATTTTTTATAGCTTTCAACAGTAAAAACAAATTTGGCAAATATTTTTTTTTTAAATCGTCAGCAAAACTTGTTTTTGTAAAGCTATGTTATTTATGAAATGAAAATGTTTCATAAAAAAAATTACAAAAACTATAAGACAAATAAATAGCAAACTTGTTTTGATACAATCCCTTTCCTTTCAAAATGCATTTCCAACCTAGAAGACTAGAATATTAAACATCAGTGAAGAAGTATTGTCTGTGTTATTTATTGCACAGCAGCTTTTCTTAGGCATTTAGCAGATTTTATTTCAGATACTTACTGAGAAAGATAGAGTTGCACATCAAATTTTCCAAACATAAACGACAAAAATTATACACATTCATCTAAGGAGGGAAGCTTAAGATTTGGAATTTTTTAACATGTACCCATAAATGTTTTTGCAATAAAGCTTACCCTTATGAGTCTTTGCAATGAATTTAGGTACGAGTTTTCACTATCAACAATGCTCCCAACTATGTACCTTCTTTTCATCTGAAAGTATATGACAATTTATACAGCTATCCATGCATAAACAGAAGCAAAAAAAGAAAAAATTAAAATAACAGCATCCCTCACTTTTTCTGGACTAAGATCTGGAGGCATAGGCGGTAAAGAGAGAGGAGGACGTTGCTTTTTCGGAATTTTCACATCAACATACCCATCTTCATCTGCATACAGCACTGTTTCCAATTGGAACCAAATAATAATAATAATTTACACATTTGTATGTGTGTGTGGATATATATGAAGTAAATGCAAAATATCTTAAATAAAATACTTCCTATAATATTCAAAATGTAAAGCAGATCAAGCAGACACAATTCAGAAAGCTTTAAATCACAAAAAATAGATAAATAAAATTCATTTACATTTCATAATTAAGTGTGTGACTCGCACATTAGAAACATTATTACTTAAAAGCTAATAACCAAATTATTATTATACTATGTCCTTGTAAATCCTTATGGAACCTTTTGTTTTCACAACCACTGTTGAAGAATGTTTTAAACGACAGAAATATTCAAATTAAAAAAATTTTTTAATTTTGTTGGGTAGAGGCGAGCGAACGTTTTTTCTTATGTGCATGCGTATGATGGCGCAGCTGTCTCTTCTCCCGACACATCCGTCATTCGAGAGTATGGAGATGCTGATGTGTTACTTGCTGTGTTATGCTCAATATGATTTCCTGTGTGATCTTTTTATTCATTATTCGTGTAAATAAAGTGTGTTGTCCTAAATCGATGGCTTCTTTACTCTAAATATTGGCCTCTGAACAACAAATGGTAGCAGCTCCGTGGTTTTGTCAAGAAGAATTGGATATAAAATACTCAAGCAAGCAAATATGATGACTCATCAAATTTCGAAATCGCCGACATGAGCCGTTTTAGTGGGGTTGATGACAGGGGGAATAAAGTCCAAACATCTGATAGCTATGAAAAAAGTAATAAATATGGAAATAAAATACCATTAAGACGATCTGAGAGGCTCAAATCAAAACAACTAGCGTCAAGTATAATCAGTAATGTTCCGAATGATTTTTCAGAAGCAAAACAAAGTTCTAATTGGTATGACTGGAAATCCGCAATGGAAAATGAAATAGATTCATTACATAAACACAAAGTGTGGGAAATAGTAGAGAGGCCTGAAAAAACAAAATTAGTAAAAAGTAAGTGGGTGTATACTTTGAAGGAAGGAGACTCTGGGGAAGTAAAATATAAAGCGAAGTACTCTGGTGAAGTAAAAGTAAAATGTAAGCGGCTGGGTTTAATCAAATAAAAAATAATGATTATACCGAATCATATTCACCAGTAGTTAACATTAAATGTTTTAGATTATTGCTTGCACTTTCAGCTAAATTAAACTTGACTGTTATATTTTATGATGTAAAAACAGCGTACTTGTACAGTGACTTAAACGAGGATGTGTATATGACTCCTCCACCTGGTTATGAAAAACTGATTGGAGAAGGTAAAGTATGTAAATTGAAGAAAAGTATTTATGGGTGGGTTGCCTCAATCCCGTAGAAATTGGTATATGAAAATAAAAAATGAATTAGAAAAACTTGGGCTGGTACAGTTAGCATTTGATAATTGTATATTTATTTATAATGATACCAAAAACATATTTATATTGTGTTTGTATGTTGATGATTTAGCTGTATTCTGTAATAATAAAGAAATGCTTGAAAATATTGTTTCTAAAATAAAAAATGTATTTGAGTTACATGAAAATACTAATTCAAAATTTTTGGGAATGCAAATAGAAAAACTTGAAAATGGTATATGTTTGTCTCAAACAGAATATATTGAATCTTTATTGACTAAACACAATCTGCAAAATTCTAAAGCAGTAAAAACGCCAATCGTTAAAGGGGCAGATAAAGGTTTTTCATGTACAAATGAAAAAATTGATGCAATTTTGTATCAGGAATTAATTGGGGAACTTTTATATTTAGCGAATAGAACGCATCCTGATATATCATTTGTAACAACTTATTTGTCACAATTTAATCATGTACCAGAAAAAAGGCATTATCTTTTGGCTAAAAGGGTATTAAGGTATTTAAAATGATTTTGGAGTTTTAAATGCATATGCTGATGCTAGCTGGGGAAATGCAGAAAATGGTAAGTCATTTTCTGGTGGTACTATTTTACTAAGTGATTCATTGATTTCTTGGAAATGTCGTAAGCAGAGAAGTGTTAGTCTGTCTACTTGTGAAGCAGAATTATTTTCTATTTCTGAAATTTGTAAGGATATTATTTGAACTGTAAATTTATTATCAGAATTAAAATTTAAACAATTTTTGAATGGTGCAGTGGTTCTGAATACAGACAGTCAAGCTGCCATCCAGTGGATCAACTGTGCAAGATCTTCTACGAAATCCAGACACATGAACTTACGTTTCCATTTTATGAAGGACTTAACAAAGGACAATGTTATTAAGTTGGAATATTCACAAACTGATAATATGATTGCAGATTTTCTTACTAAGAGTGTCAGTGAAGAAAAATTAATGTATACATTGAAAGTAATTTCCTTAATTTCTTAATGTAATGTGTTATATATTGTTTGTATTTCATTTTTGTATTGAAAAAATGTTGCTCGCAAGAGAGGTGTGTTGGGTAGAGGCGAGCGAACGTTTTTTCTTATGCGCATGCGTATGATGACGCAGCTGTCTCTTCTCCCGACACATTCGTCATTCGAGCTTCGAGCGTATGGAGATGCTGATATGTTACTTGCTGTGTGATGCTCAATATGATTTCCTGTGTGATCTTTTTATTCATTATTCGTGTAAATAAAGTGTGTTGTCCTAAATCGATGGCTTCTTTATTCTAAATATTGGCCTCTGAACAACAAATTTAAAGAACCAATTTTGTAAAAATTATGAAATCTAACTTTTTCTCTTCGCCCCAGTCTATAAAGTGATATTTAACCAAGATATTTAATTTCAAAGTTTGGGATTTTTTAAAGCAATCACAGGTTAATTTTCTTCCCCTTTAATGTTATACAGAGATATTACTTTGTGACTTACTAGCATGAAATATTTTTTAATTTACAATTTTGGTACATACGGTATGCTGAAGATATATCCACTCAAATTTATCAGTTTCCGAATACCAAAAATATGTTACTGATATTCTAATGCAATTTTATTACTTTAGAATCATAATCTAATCATCATCATTGACATTAGAAAAATTCATCGAAGCTAGAAATATTTTTCATTTTTAATTTATACAAATAATATTACAAGTTGACTAAGCGACAAGATTAAAGCCTGAACAGCTTTTTAGAGCTAGAAATCTATAAGTTTCTGTGAGTAAGATCTGCTTTTTCAAGGAAAAAGTATACTGATCAAAACATTTCATGGCAGTCTGCATAGTAATGTTTTTCATTTAATGTTTCAACAAAGAAATATGTATTTTATTCCCAGTTATGTACAAATTCAAACATATCACTCTTCAATTTGAGTACGATCCCTGAACATCATCTCAAATTTTGTAATTGACTATATTAGCATTATTTTCTAAATGAATGTGAATTTTTATTAAATATAACTTGGGGTACTGCATGGCTGCATTAAATGTTAAATTGTGTCATTTTTACAAACTCAATTGTTTTAACTTTAAAATGTCATAACATGGATACTTTCCTAACTAAAAGTATTTTTGTAAATGAGTATGTCTTCAACCAACAGTCGTAAAAATAAAGGCCACATAAGGACTTCTATAGAAACACTGCACACAATACTTCAAATATAAGGTGAAATAGTTTTTGCATTTCTTATCAAAATTTACAAGTGCACATATGTATCAATTTACACAGCGTAAAAAAAAAATCAAAATTATTTCATATCATCACTTGAAACACATTTTACAATGAAGAAAATGCTAATGCACATTCTCAAATCAACATGAAAGGTTTTAAGCATTTTCAAACACTAACACAAAATGCTTCAATGACGTTTAATTCAAATGGCAGAAATTTTTTAAATTTATTTATGGAAATATGACACTTTGTCACAGGAATCTGATGTCCAAAAATATAACTACGAACTAAAATCCATACACATTTTCTTGTTTATTCCTAAGTAAATGTTTCAGAGAATCTGCAGTCTAATTGCGCAAGCAATAAAGAGTATTCACAGACAGTAAACAAACACTACAAGATACGAAAGACAGTTACATACAGCAATCCTCCTATTATTAATCTAGATGTAACAAACCACTGAAAATGTGAAGTCAAATCACTTTTAAATAAATTTTCACTCCAGTTTCTTACAGAAGTTAAATCACAATTATGTAAATTACTATACAAAATGTAAATTTAAATGCATATACTTTCTAAGAGCTATAAAAACAATGAACAGATTTCCATTACAAAATGAAGGTAATAATTGCAAGATAATCTATAAATTCACAATCTACAAACTTTATTTTTTTTAAATGCTAAGAAATCAAGTAAATACACAAGCTTGATTTCAAAACTGATGATGATTTATCAAACAGAAAGTGACATAGTACATTTTCTGGTTTAATCTACCATGATAAATCTAATATTGCAGAACTTGTATTTCTACAAATTTTTAACTCTTACAAATACCAATAATTCTAATTAACTGGAAAATAAAACTTTAAGAGGCATGGCTAAATTATAAATATCACATATAAACATCCCAGTAATGGTAAAAAAAAAAACTTAAATTGAAACAAAGTACCTCTTATTTACCAATATAAATAACAGATTAGTGTTGATAATGTACAAAGTAATAGGTAATAATGACCTCTTTGAAAAAGAAAATCTTTAATCCATATTTACTCCTACTTAAAATCTGGGTCCAAGAAATTATTAAAATATTAATTTCATTCATATATGGAACACATATTCTTTTCATATAAAATTATGCACTACACTAAAAAAACTCAGCTTTCAGAAGGAATTTCATTTTGCAGCTATCTTGCCAGTTTAGCCTATATAAGTACTGGTGCACAAATGTATAAGACTAGAAACTTAAATTATGTAAAAATTAATAAACTACATATAAATAGCATATTAATTTTAAAGATGGCATTTTAGGCTGTAAAATTTAAAAATAATGCCCATTATTATTTACTAAGATTATTACATGTTTTACTTAAGTATTAAGAACATTCAAACATTCATCTCCAAAACAATTACCTTGCGACTGTCTGTTAATTTTTACACATTTTTCTAATTCATATTCTTTTTTCCTAGTAGAAAACCACCTCGTGAAACCACCAGCAATACCCTAAAAAATAAGACTAGCTTAATTAAGACACAATAACACGCCGAATAAGTACTAATTCAGAAGTCAAACAACAAAATCAGTGTTATTTTCAAAATTTTCACAGGACTAGTTTCGATGGTTTTACTGAACCACCATCCTCAGTTGCAAAACCGCAAATGAACGAGATAGGAAATAATGATTAGATAAGATAAGAAAGCCTGGACAAGAATAAGCAAGTGGCGCCATCTGTTGGTGAAACCAGAACTAAAACATAATTTCTTTAAAGGCCAAAGGCAAAGATGGATTGGAATTAGGATCGTTAACAAGAACAGAAAGATTTTTTTGAATGTGAAATGCCTCTAAAAAATCCAGTTCTCCAATGGAAGATGTTTTTTGAATAATTTTGGCAGCAGAAAAACTGAAGGTGTGATTTTCGGATCAACAATGTTGAGCAACAGAAGACTTCTGTGTTTCCTTTTTTCTAACATATGCCTCATGTTAACTGATGCGAAATTTTAAGGCTCTCTTAGTTTGGCCAATGTTAATTAAACCACACGGGTAAGGAATCCTATAAATACCCCAAGAATTCATATCCGGAATGGGGTCCTTGAGTATGGAACTCGGAATTTTATTGATGGGAGAATAAACAACCCGAAAGTTAAATTTCTGCAAAATATGTCCAACTTTATAGCTAACTGATGGAAAGAAGGGAATGACAACAGAATTTTTATAATCTCCTAAAACAAGAGTGTGCCTTTTAGTGTGTTGAGATGAAAATTTTTTAACAGCTTGATTAATAATGTTGGGTGAAAAGCCCCTGTCAACAGCTATTGCTTTTAAATAATTTAGTTCTTCATTAAGGGTTAGTTTGGAAGAGCAACCTTGAAGAGCACGGAAAACATATGAATAAAATGAAGCTAACTTTTGTTTAGTCGGATGACATGATTTGAAGTGTGGTGGAAGGCAAACCGATGAAGGGTTACGGTAAACCGTAGTACTGAAGTTGGATGTGTTACGTGTAACCAGAATGTCGAGAAACGGAAGAGAATTGCAAGTCTCAAGTTCAAAAGTGAGCTGAATAGCAGGATCAATAGAATTCATTGTTTAAAGAACTTTATTTAAATCATCTTTATTACTTTCAAACAGGGTAAAAGTATGGTCTACGTTCTGTTGTCATTCCCTTCTTTCCATCAATTAGCTATAAAGTTGCACATATTTTGCAGAAATTTAACTTTCGGGTTGTATTCTCCCATCAATAAAATTCCGAGTTCCATACTCAAGGACCCCATTCCGGATATAAATTCTTGGGGTATTTATAGGATTTCTTGCCAGTGTGGTTTAATTTACATTGGCCAAACTAAGAGAGCCTTAAAATTTCGTGTCAAGGAACATGAGGCATATGTTAGAAAAAAGGAAACACAGAAGACTTCTGTTGCTCAACAATGTTGGTCCGAAAAATCACACCTTCAATTTTTCTGCTGCCAAAATTATTCAAAAAAACATATTCCATTGGAGAACTGGATTTTCTAGAGGCATTCCACATTCAAAAAAATCTTTCTGTTCTTGTTAACGATCCTAATTCCAATCCATCTTTGCCTTTGACCTTTAAAGAAATTATGTTTTAGTTCTGGTTTCACCAACAGATGGCGCCACTTGCTTATTCTTGTCCAGGCTTTCTTATCTTATCTAATCATTATTTCCTATCTCGTTCGTTTGCGGTTTTGCAGCTGAGGATGGTGGTTCAGTAAAACCATCGAAACTAGTCCTGTGAAAGTTTTGAAAATAACGCTGATTTTTGTTGTTTGACTTCTGAATTAAGACTAGCTTAATTTTAAATCTGCATTAAGATCCTAAAATAAAAAGTTAAAATAAAAACAAATTTTTAAAACAATAAAACTTTTTATGACAATGAAAATATAAAAATTATCCCCCCCAAACTGAAAATGGAAGTAATTTTAGTTACTGAGAAAATTTTTCAATCCTGAACTCTCAGAAATACATATATAAAATGCAAAATATAAAATATAAAAGAAAATTAGAAACAAAAAACAAACGTAATTCAGAAATAGTCCTTTTCATTCCTAAGTTCAATTTAACTATGCCCTCTTCAAAGAATATGTACTGCATCACTTACATCATTATTTCATCTGCAATGATGCACGCATACTTGCCAACCTTTGACACTCAAAAATCAGGAGTTTTTTTAAGAAATCAGGAGATTTTTCACAATGTTATAAAGACTTTTTAAATAATAAAAATATAGTTTTTAATAATGAATTAACTTTAAATAGTAACTAATTCTTAAATGCAAGCAATTACACATAAAAAACATTTTTATTACTCGCATCATTTAAAAAAAAAAAAAAAAAAAAAAAGACACTTTAATCAGTTTCCGTACAAATGTTATAAACAGTGGCAGATTTTGCTTTCTGTAAGAAAGAAACTTCATAATTTTTGTTCATAACAATTGCCACGTAGGCCTGCTTTCGCTAATAAAAGTTTTCCTAATGTGTCATCGCTAATATTAGATCTAAATTTAGTTCTCGTTTTCGCAACAACACTGAAAATACTTTCACACTCTGCATTACTATGGGGAACTGTCAAGATGGCCAACATAATTCTAGACAGTTCACTAGACAGTTAGGCTCGCTGAATACATTGGCAGCTCTCTACATAATCATCAGATACGCTGTCGCCCGTATACTTAAGGAAAATTAAGGACGTGGCAAAGCCTTCGACCAATGTCTGAAAGCATGAAGGGCTTTTTTTTCAAGCTTATTAACCATGGCTTTTCACCTGCTCTTATCAGGATTATTCACTCCTTTTTGTGTGGGCGTAAATTTCAGGTTTCTATAGGAAAGGACTGCTCGGGCTTTAAGAGAATTAGGGCAGCATCCCACAAGGGAGCATTATAGGTAATGTCTTGTACTTATTTTACGTCGCAGATCTACCAAGGGCCAACCTGGATTATAATTATTTTCTTGGACGCTACGCTGACGACACTGCACTAGTAGAAGTCGGCAAACCTCAACTTTGCGATCCGCAAGCTGCAGAGCATTATACCGCAAATTGAGCATTGGTGTCGCAAATGGCGGATATGTATCAATGAAGATAAGTCCCAACTACTGATTATAAGGAGGAAGCACTCACGGACTAATATCACTGAAAACTTATGCTCTTCATCACCGAGGTCCCCCGTGTTAACAAGGCAAAATATTGTACTCAACACCAAATTCAACTGGAAGGACCACATTATGCACGTTCGGGTGGGGGGGGAACTATCGGCGTGATTCAAAGTCTCACCCCTCTACTCAGTTATGATTCAAAATTAGACCTACGAAGAAAGAGGCATCTCTACATTTCAGTCATCAGACCCATTTTCTCATATGCCTCGCCTGCATGGGCTACTATGAGGACTAGGGATTTGGATAAACTGTAAATTATGCAGAACAAGCTGCTGCGTACTATGACTCGTGCTCATTACTACATCTCAAACAAAACTCTACACACGGATCTTAAAATCGAGCCTGTCCTAAATTTTCTGCACCAGATGAATGATAATTTCTTTAAGAAAGCAATTAACTGCCCACACCTCAAGAATCTTAAAGTTCTTGATTATATGTCCTAGAAGAGGACCGTGAACTCAGACCACTGACCGCCCACCTGTCCCGGGATGCTAACTTTCCGACGTAGCATGCATTCCGTCTGTACATATGTATATAGCACACCCTTTTAATTTAAATTTGTATGGCATCCTTATGCATGTAATGTTAAAAGTAGTACTGCATTTTCTTATTTAATCCCTTCATACTTCATTTTTTACTCATTGTATCCATGTTTTGTATTTTTGTATCTTAACATATTTTATCTCAGCTGTGCACTTATTAGGAACTATCAACTTAGGATTTTCTCCCCTGATCTTTTTGCATCAACCGCCCTAGCACCTTACTGCTCCTAGGCTCCGCCTCTCAGGTTCTCTGCGCTCTCTCGAGCCATGTGGCTTCTTTAAAGAATCTCTAAGAGATCTCCTAATCTCTAAGAGATAATCTTAGAGATTCTTTGGCTTATTGGTCACACCCTCTACCTTCCCACCTTAGTCCTCCGTAATCCCACGTCCAGACAGTTAATGTCAGGTACCCACTGGGCATATCTCGCTGAGTTGGTAACATCACGCTTAGCACGATAATTCGGCTATAAACGTTCAGTTCGGTTTAGAAGTTACCTGATTCGCAAGGTTTTGTTTTAGATATAAATCTAGAGAAAACTCGATTGCTTTTAGATGTCCAAAATCACTTTTTTTTTTTTTTTTTTTTTTTTTTTTTTTTTTTGTTCATATAACAAGGAATTAAGCCAAGTTCCATAAAAATCGTGAGAAATTATAAGAATAAGAAAAAGTCGGGAGAAATATATTGCAAATCGGGTTGGCGGGAGAGCAGTCAAAAATCGGGAGAGTTTGCAACTCTGTGCATGGATGGTACTGTAAAACTCTTATCCGATCACTATTCAAAACTGAAATAAAGGAGCTGAGTTAAAAAATACCTCAGCTGCAGAATATGCATTTACACTTCCTTCTCTGCTCTTGTTTTGCAAGCACATAATTAAATACTTTGCTGTTCTATTGTTTAAAGAAATGCTATGCATGTATAAAATTATGGGAAGCGTATAGCACCCAAAGTGTTGCGTAAACCAAGAATAAATGTTTTAACCCTTTCAGTTCCAATGGGTTGTATTAGTCCCAGTAGATGTTTAAAAAAGCCTAGAGACATGTGGGAGAGGTTTTGAAAATCTTCTCTGAAAATTGTCGCACACATCTTCCTATACAAGCATAGTGAATTTGTTTACTATAAGGTGAGCATGCAATATGTCATGTGCTACATCTTAACGTTTAAACAAATAAATTGAGACTGAAAGGGTTAAGATATGGCCAAGAAATTATTCGCAAAAAAATGATATTGCAATTATTAAGATGGTTGTGCTTTCCAAAGTCCCAATCATCTAATACGCAACCTGTACCGTCTACC